GGGAATCTCCTCAGGAATGTGGGAATGGCTCTCCCACCCTCGGGAATCCCAACTTTTCCTTTTTCCCTGGATTTTCCCGGCAGCACCATCAGCGACGTCTCCGTCCTGAAGCTGAAGGTGGAGAAATGTTCCCGCCAGGATTCCGTCTTCATGAAGAAGGTAATTCCGGGATTTGGGAAAAGTTGGGATGGGGCCTCGGCATTCCCAGGCCTTGGAGCTCCGTGACGCCGCTAAAACCTGGGAATATCCCTGGAATTTCAATCCAGGAACCAGCAGCAGGACAAGAGGGCTCGGCCTCCGGCTGGGCCGGGGGAGGGGCAGGTGGGATATCGGGAAGGATGGGAATTCCCCCTCCTATCCCACATCCCAATTATTCCCCCTCCTCTCCCACATCCCAACTATTCTCAATCCTCTCCCACATCCCAACTATTCCCCCTCCTGTCCCACATCCCAGTTATTCCTCCTTCTATCCCACATCCCAACTATTCCCTCTCCTATCCCACATCCCAACTATTCCTCCTCCTATCCCACATCCCAGTTTATTCCCCTTCCCAATCCATAACCCAACTATTCCCCCTCCTCTCCCACATTCCAACTATTCCCTCTTCCCAACCCACATCCCAACTATTCCCCCTCCTCTCCCATATCCCAATTTATTCCCACTCCTATCCCACATCCCAATTTATTCCTCTTCCCAACCCACATTCCAAGTTATTCCTCCTTCTCTCCCCCATCCCAGTTATTCCCCCTCCTCTCCCACATCCCAATTTTTCCTTCTCCTCTCCCACATCCCAATTTATCCTCCTCCCATCCCACATCCCAGTTTATTCCTCTTCCCATCCCACATCCCAACTATTCCCTTTCCTATCCCACATCTGAATTATTCCCTCTCCTCTCCCACATCCCAACTATTCCTTCTCCTTTCCCACATCCCAATTATTCCCGCTCCTGTCCCACATCCCAGTTTATTCCCCTTCCCAATCCACATCCCAAATATTCCTCCTTCTATCCCACATCCCAACTATTCTCAATCCTCTCCCACATCCCAATTATTCCCCTTCCCAACCCACATCCCAATTATTCCCTCTGCTCTCCCACATCCCAACTATTCCTCCTCTCCCACATCCCAACTATTCCTCATCCTATCCCACATCCCAACTATTCCTCCTCCTCTCCCACATCCCAACTATTCTCCTTCCTATCCCACATCTGAATTATTCCCTCTCTCAACCCACATCCCAACTGTTCCCCTTCCCAACCCACATCCCAGCTATTTCTCCTCCTCTCCCACATCCCATCTATTCCCCCTCCTATCCCACATCCCAGTGCCACGGACTGGGGTCGGATCCAGGGTTGGACTCCACGATCCCGGAGCTCTTTTCCAACCCGTCCGATTCCGGAATCCATGCAATTCCATGCAATTCCACGTGCAATTCCCTGTTTTTCCCAGCACGGGCAGCAGCTGTACCGGCACATCTTCCTGGTTTCCAAGGAGGAGAACAACGTCCGGGCTCACTACGAGGCCCTTTACGGGCTCCTGGTGCTGCTCAGCATCGAGTTGGCCAACGACGAGGTGCTGGTGGATCTCATCCGACTCGTCCTGGCCGTCCAGGTGCACGGGAACGCCCGGAATTTCCGGGATTTCTGGGATTTTGGGGATTTAAGGGATTTTCGGGGTCTCTAGGGAAGCCCGGAAGGTGTCAGAGCGACCCAGGATAGCGGGCGGTGGAATGGGATGGGATTTGAGGTCCTTTCCCACCCGAACCATTCCATGATAAAGGACACTCAGGATCCATTCAGAGGGATTTTTCTGGAATGTGGGGATGGCAAAGGCAGGAAAGGGGAAGGGAGACCCTGC